CAGTCAGGTAGCCCTCGGAAACGCGCATGTGTTGCGCATTTTTTTACAGAGAATCGCAGGAAAAACGCACGGCATTAAACGCGCAACAAACGTGCATATTCTATACGCCTAGGTGTGAACCCAGCCTTAGTTACAAGCTTGGATATACTATCTTTTATCTTTTGAGTAATGTAATTTACTTCTGGTGAAGATCCTGTGGAGTGCGGTATTTTTTTGAAACATAACATCTCTGTTGCTGTAGACTTTTCTCCATACTTAGATGGAAAAGACATGGAGAATGTTCTCTGCTGATAAAAGTAGTTGACATTTCGGTAGAATACAGCTAACACCAACAAGTGCTACAAATGTTATGAGGAAAACAACATTTGAAGACAAACACATAATGAATATATATATATATATATCAGTATTTGCGTCTGGGCTGCATATAAATGTGATGTACTATTATATTTTTTTTTATGTTGCATGTTGAATATACAAAGGCTGAGTGTGTAATGTACATATGATAGTAAAATACACAACAGATGTTAGAATCTGTGTCGGTTGAGACGAAGATGGGAGAAGGAAGTAAAAACGGAGCCGTCTCATGCGGCAGGTCAGATAAATGTTTTAAATGTAGTTGTGCGTCGCCACTTCCAAAAGGAGAGACGTGGCTATTCTGCATCCATTGTGACAATGCTGAACATATAGGACCCCCTGTGTACATTGACCTCTCACACCAAAAAAGTACCATTGCATACCTTAAGAAAAACATATGTTGGTCATGAGGTTTCAGAATTAATTTAAATTAAAAAATGAAATTAATTTGTATTTTGCGATTGCATGTGGGCACGAAAGGGAATTACATGTCCTTGTGAAGTTTATAGGGCATTCTTTAACCGCCTGCCGGCCGTTGTGAAAAAAACAGCTGAGCGGGCGTCTTTAAAACGTCCTGCCCCACACCCCGGAGTCGGCTACTGGGCCCGCACTGTCCATTGGAGAGTGCGTTTCTAAAACAAGGTATAGAGCCCGTAAAATCGTCCCTATACCTTGCGATCTAGCTCTGACAAATCACAGCTGTCACTAAAGTTAACAGAGGCTGCGGTTTGCAACCTTGTCGCTATCTCCTCACTCACGCACCATTCTGTTGTGAGAGAGGACACGGAGAACTTTGAGCGATTTATCGCGTGGTAATTCCCGTGATATTGCTCTTCAATGCTTTGCAATGGGGCAAAGGGTCCTGCTGTCGCGGGTCGTGTGTCGCTACAGCAGGACCCTTTTTGGAGCGGATTTTGCCGCGATTCTCGCTTGCTCAATGCAAGCATTTGCGCGATATCACGCAAAATGCAAATCGCGTGAAACGCGCGAATTGTGCAGTGTGAATGGGGCCTAAGAATTTAAAGTGATACACACTGATACACACAGTGCACTCTGCTACAGATTAGTGTCAAAGCGTCAATTCAGTGTCAGTGCCATCAGCGTGATTCAAAGTAATTAGTGCCAGTCATTGTCATCAGTGCAATTCACAGTGTCATTGTCATCAGCGCAATTCACAGTCAGTGTTGTCATTGTCATCAGCACAATTCACAGTGTCAGTGTCGTCATTGTCATCAGCGCAATTCACAGTGTCAGTGCCACATTTCCAGCACATATCATTAGCACTCAGTGCCAGCAGAACACACCAGTATCTACCACCGTGCCAGCCTACTAGCACCAATTAGCGTGTGACGCTCACATAACCGGTACAGCACATCCAAGTACCAGTGTCATCCAGTGCCCCCCAAGTATACGCACTAACAAAAATGTCCCAAGAAGTGTACAGCAGCGAGGAGGCGTTTCAAATCCTCAGCATGTCGGGTGAGAGTGACGGAGAGGCCTCTGTCGGATTCTGGATGAACCTGTGGAGAGCAGCGGTTCAGTATCCTCTGATTCAGAAGAAGAAGTTGTGCCCACTAAGAGATCCAGGAGTGCTGTCCTACATCCAGCTGACATGCAGCAGCCAAGCACCAGTACTGCCGCTCATCCCCATGCAGAGGCAAGCACTAATCCCCAAGATCAGCCACGATGAATTAGACCCCAAAGAGCACATACTAGTCTACTACCAGAGGCACTTTCAAATCCCTCGCTACCCTCTAATTCAGCCACACCGGTCATCCCCCCCCCCCATTTATTGCCAATCCAGGAGTCCAAGTGGAAATGGAGAATTTTACACCTCTTCAGTTAGATTGTCAACCAAACCAACCTTTATTATCAACAGTTCGTTGCAAGCAATCCTAATTCCTCCTATGCCAGGCCATTTCAGTGGAGGCCTCTGAGTGTTTCCGAATTTAAAACCTTTCTCGGCCTAACACTGAATATGGGACTCACCAAAAACAATGAGCTTAATGCGTACTAGTCTACAAACCCAATCCACCACATGCCCCTATATTCCTCAACCATGTGCAGGACAAGATACAAAACGATCATGAGGGTTTCTTCATTTCAACGACACTTCAACTTGCCCTCCCAGAAGTCACCCCACATATGATAGGCTCCAAAAAATTAGGCCACGCCTCAATTTGTTTTCTGCCAAATTTTTTGAAATGTATACTCCCCCCAGCAAAATATTTGCATTGAAGGAATCCCTTATTTATTTCACAGGCAGGCTTCATATAGAACAGTATATCCTCAGCAAACATGCCAGGTATGGGGGTGAAACTATAAGCCTTGTGAAAGAGACCCCGGATACACGTATGACTTCCGTGTGTATGAAGGCAAGGATAATTATTTGGAGCCCCCTGGATGCCCATCGTACATGGGAATCAGTGAAATAATTGTGTGGGACCTATTGACACCCCTATTCCGCCAGAGATACCACCTCTACGTGTACAATTTCTACAGCAGCATACCCCTGTTCAAACCCCTGTTCCTCCAAAAAAATAAAACAGCCTGTGGTACAGTGCGATCAAATCGGATCGGCTTTCCCCAAAATATTGTCCGCAAGAAACTGAAAAGGGGAAGCCAGCAAGTCTGAGGAATGACAAACTTTTGGCCCTCAAATGGAAGGACAAAAGCCATGTTCACATTCTGTCATCCATCCACCCAGACCCAGTGGAAATCCAAGGAAGATCTGACCTGTCCACAAATACAATCTCTATATGGGTGGTGTTGATTTCAACGAGCGGATGATGCAACCCTACATGGCAACCAGAAGATCCGTTCACTGGTATAAAAAAAGTTTCCATCTATCTTTTATAATTGGCTATGCAAAATTCATATGTAAGTCTACAGGAAGAGCTGGCTCTTATCTCCAATATCAAGAAGCAATTGTTACATCCCTGATTTACCAGGAAGGCTGTCAGAATGTTTACTCTTGATAAAATAAACAGTGTTCTACTTATAAAAACAAGCGAGGATCTGTAATCAAGGAGATTCACAACTTATTTCCACAAAATAACTTGAGTTTGCTTATTTGCGCTAACTTGAAGACAAAATAAATGTGCAAAAATATATATTAACTAAAAATCTGTGCAGAATAATAATCAAAATAACTGTAGGGCTGCAGCTAACGATTATTTTCATAATCGATTAGCCGATTATTAAGTTCGATTAATCGGATTTTAAAAATGGCTCCAGTGATGGACTACTAGTTTGTACTGAGATTGTAGTCCATCACGGGAGCAAGCCTGGAGCTGTGGAAATAAAAAAAAGTGTGATGTGCAATATAGTACATTATACAGCATATTCATACTTACAACTACTTCAATTTCAATAACAATATATATTTACAAATGACCGGGACAGCTATGGGCACAAAAATGTCACCACAATATGCCAATCTCTTAATGGCTGACCTAGAACACAGATTCCTAGCCACTCACCCTCCTAAACCATTCAAATATTATCGTTATATTGACAATATTTTCATAATATGGACAGAAGGAGAAGAAAGCCTTTTAAACTTCCATGAATCATTAAATTAATTCCATCCATCGATCAAACTCAAAATGAATTTCTCAGTACACAGTGTGTTTTTTCTGGATTGTGCCATAACGGTCAGCAATGGCTCACTCTGTTCTTCTGTGTACAGAGAACCCACAGACAGTTACAGCTACCTCCATAATTCCAGCTTCCATCCGAATCACACTAAACAGGGTGTCATCTACAGCCAAGCAATCCGATACCACCGCATTTGCTCTGAGGACAGAGACAAACACCTGAGCACTCTGGCTGATGCATTTTGGCGAAAGGGCTATAGGGAAAAGACTATATCCAAAAACAAAAAATCTGCCCTAAAAACACAACGGGAAAGACTGCTACAGTACAAGGAGAAAGCAAAACTCAACCAGGACCCCTCTTGTAGTTACCTACAACCGCACTTTAGAGGTAATACGCAAAATAATCAAAGATCTACAGCCAGTACTCTCAGAAGACCCCATACTTCATGAAATTTTCCCTCAGCCCCCAATACTGGCTTTCAAGCAACCACTGAACCTGAGAAGAAGATTGGTACGCAGTAAGCAGATCCCAGAAGAGGAACGGACACAGAATGGCGCAGTACAATGCAATAAACCCCGCTGCAAACTTTGCCAACATATATGTGACAGAAATACAGCGAGTCACAATAACAAAGCGTACACCATTAAGGGGCCATACTCATGCACATCTGCTAACGTGGTTTATATGATACAGTGTTCAGCACTTTAAAGTACTGAAAGGGAATTTTAAAAACTCTCATGAAAGAAAAACATTCGAAATAAAAATGATTTTACATCTCAATTCCATAAAGGAGGGACTTAATGTGGATTCTCGTTTTCTTACACACTACCAGAACTTTTTATGAATATACAGAACATTATAATATTCATGTATGTCGTATATCCCTGATCTGTTTAGGGTTTATTGG